TACATGTGTGATGAGCTGGTTTAGGTCACGATAGGAGATGTTCGAGAAAAAATATGCCCAAGACACTCCCCACATTCAAGAGCTTTCAGATGAGGTATAAATCATGTCTCTACATCAGTCAGTTATTACATTATTGGTGGACAGACACACAGCCATTTTGTCTTTATTAGTATAAATGTATCTAGAAAGGTGTGTGATTACCTCTGTCACTACTTTTTTGCAGAATACCATACATACCTTTTTTGGACTTAAAGCATTTTTAATATAGCTCATCAACAATAGAGACTCACCCCAAAACAATATGCCTATGACACACCACCATGCAAAACCTTTCCCAATGAGGTATAAATCATATTTCTCTGTCAATCGGTTGTTGTGTTCTTGGTGGACAGACACACAGACAGACACACAGACATTTTGTCGTTATTTGTGATAAAATCATTTTATCATCTGAATTGTTTTGCATAGCTTGGCTGACCGAAAACAAAATTCAGATGATCAAATGATTTCAGTTTCAAAATTCTGGAGGGTAAAACCCTATAATTCTAAAATCCTTTTAATATTTGCATTTATAGACTCCATCGTAATTATTTACATCATTAACCTATACAGTATAGCCAGCCTGATTCACCTAACTAAGCTTGTTTTAATGTTATAAGTTTGTATAATTATGAACATATTTTATGTTGGTAGGATTTAGGATTCATGATATTTTTATTCACTGATTCTGACATCTACCTGCGACTTAATAGTATTAATAATATCGGAACCTGTATTATGAAATACAACAACATCAACTACTTGCATTTACAGAGCGCCCTTCATGTGGTTAGCATTTTGGGGTGCTGAACACTATAATGTTACTTACATACTGTTAAGTTTGACATCTTTATAGTTATGAAGAATGGGCACAATCTTTTAAATTAGGGAATTCTGCTTGAAATGTTCTCCAATAGATTTCTATTTAGATATCAGCATTTTTAATGGAAAATTAAAAACATGTATATTTTGTTTCAGTCAGGTATTTGACACACGTGGAAACTAATTATGATGAAGAGTCTTCAAACCAAGCTACTGAGAGTTCCACATATGTATGATTTCTGTTTATTAGTAGGGTGTGTGCACTCTTCCTGCCCCTCAAGTGGGACACACCCTGCTCACTAATCCCAATGAGTTTAGATGTAGGTTGGATACCTCAATTTGTGCATTGGGATACTGCTGGAGTTCAAGCTCAAACCATGCACGTAAATATTGTGAACATTGGCAAACTTCATGCTTTTTGTCCAGCTAGGACCACCATACATGTTAAGGTTTTGGTTCACAGAGTTAACAGGCACTGGATGATAATCCCAGTCTCCACTAGTTTGCTCAAGAGCTAGGCTGGCTGGTCATAATCAGCAGAGCCTTGGAGAATTGTGGCCTGCCTGTCTACCATGACTGCTACAGAGGATGATACGTTATTGTACTGCTTACAATTTTCTGGAATTATACTAAATTACAGTTGTTTCCTATGTTAGTTTCTTAGTGACAGTGGGACTGAATTAGACATAATTAGTGTTGGATTCCTTAACATATGCATCATCAATTGAATTTTATAACAAAAGTTTATATCATATTGCTGGATATCTTACTCTGCGGATATGTAATATATACATACGCTGTATCTTCATTTCTGTAACCATAAAAGTTTGAAATTTTATGTATTTTGTAATATTTAAAATGCCAATTAGGGTTAAAGCAGCAAGAGGGCTTATTATTTATACACTATATTTAAGGATATATTGCTGTGCACAATTGGCTGCTGCGTTTCGCCCATAAATATACAGTCAATTCATTCTACAGTATATTCTGTGAAGCGCTTTGAGACGTCTTGAAGACGTAAAAATCAAATGCAAGGATTATACTAAAATATATTTTGGAAACATGATAAGCCAGGGGTTCCCAAACTTTCTGGGCTCGAGGCCCCTATGACTTGAGGCATTCTTACTGAGGACCCTAACTCAAGCTCCACAGGCTTCCTGCAGGGCAGTGAAGCATAGCTGCCATAGGTGGCAGATAAAAATATTCTTGGTGGAGTGAACTGGGTAAAACTTGTTGGGGTGACCAACTTCTGATTAACTGATGGATCTGTCAGTCTACCCAGCAAGGGAACCAATGTCATAAGCCATTCCATTAGAACTATTTGAAAGATTGAAAAAAAGGATGAGATGCCATAAATTCTGGCTTGTGAGAGACATTGAATCAAATGGGCGCAAGAGGTGAAGATGAATTATAATATTCACAACATTATAAGGTTTATAATTTGCTGAATTGTCAAATGCTAAGTTGGTATTCTTATTATATGATGATTATTTTGTCTGTGAACCTGGTGAGCTCCCACCCAACAATGTTGACACATGAACATAAGTTTCAATGTATAATTGACAAAGAAGAGTTAGAAGAGTTTTGGAGATAAGGAAGTTAGTCATCAAAGACTTAATGGAGGAACAATTTTGATAGGCCGAATAACCGACTCACATTACGTTGTTCTCTGCATTCAGTCTCCATTGCTAATTAGCTAAGCATGGGGCAAATAAAAATTGGAATTATTACATCCCCGTTGGCTTTCATCAATGGAGGCCACAGGAGATGTAGTGGGATTACAGCTTCTACACTTCAGAAATTTTTGCCTGACCTTGACCCAAGTCAGTACATTATGGGACACCCAGTGTAGACGACTGTGAATCAAGATTTGGAGCAGTTAATTGACCTCCATGTGTAGGTAGCCAGATGATGCACCCTGATCAGAGGGCACCAGATGGCCCTGCCTTCTGGTAAATAGCACTGTTTGAGTGAACTTAATCCACACGAATCCAGAATTGATGCCAGTAGAACCCAAGACTGGATTTGACGGCAGTCATTTTGAATGGTATTTGAAGAGACAGTTGATAGTTTTGCCGTGAAATGATGTGTAGCAAGAAGTGTATCTCCTTGACTCCCTCTAGAAATTGGTGGCAGATGCAATGTTTTATTTTATCACAATACTTTACTGTATATTTTTCTTCCGGGATGCTACCCCATGTGCTTTATAAATGCATTTTGTTTTCGTTGTATACTGTTTATTTTTCTTATGGATCTTGACTTTCAGGATTTTTAAAATAAATCTGTAAACTGTTTTGTTCATTTTGTTTTGTATTGGATTCATTAGTTTTTAATCAATTTAACTTGCCGACTTTTATACGTATATATGACTAATTCAAAAGATCATTATCAGTGGATTTGAATGGGTGCACCAATATCTCATATTCCAACTTGTTCTTTTTGTACTTTGCTTGCAAAACACTTCGGTAACTTACTTATTTTACTTTGCTTTCACCTCTTCATCTCTTTTGTTTTTGTACCTTGGTGATCCAGTGTTCTTGTAAAGCGCTTCAAGATGTTTTCCTATGCGCTATATAAGTGCAAGTTGCAGAAATTGACACCTCCACATTCTCACTCCTTTAATCCTGTTAATGAGCTCCCTTTTGTTCTTTTAATGTGACAATTATTTTGTGGGACAGGATTAAAATCTCACACCTAATTTGTCCACTATGTTGACATTTGCTAGCTAGTCCGTAGCAGATTAGGTATCAGTTTTAATATGTAAACATTAGCACACACAAAAACAGTTTTGCACATTTTGCATTTTATATACCAACAAAGGATAAATACATGGATACTAGCCCCCCACCCCCACCCTAACAATTTTTGTACTTTGGTTATTTTGTTGAAATTCCATACAACACTGCTGCCTCTTAAAACAGTGTTTTGAGTTGTTTGGTCAAAAATTGTAAACGTATTGGTAATTTTACTGTTGGTTCATCATAGTGCTGCAAAATAAGACAAAGTAATTGGTAAGTTTTTGTTGTTGGTCAAGTTCATTAAAATATAAAGGATCAGTATATCTCCCCTTCTGATACAGTAAGACACTAAAAACAACTGTTAGTAAAAAATGGAAACCAAGTTTTGTTTACAAACAAAAGGTTCAACATGAGGAGGTACACATCGCTTGTGAAGGTAAACAAGAAAATATGGATTCCCAGTTATAGATGATTCATTCAGTTGTTGAGTGTCAGTTATGAATTCCTGAGGGTGTGTGGGGGGTGAGTACCTTTAACAAAAACTTGAAAATCGAGCGTTAAGCACGTAATGGTTTGTGTTCTCTCCAACCACTGCTTCAGTGAACGATCGGAAATGTTTCCCAGCAATACATACGTTTAATAATTACAACATCGCCAACAGAAACGTCCAGGTAAATGTCAACATGAACAGCATTGGCAAATCATTATTTTTTTTTACACACACACATACACACACTGCCACAGCTCTCGGAGCTGAACGTTAAGCGTCACGTATGTGCCTTTTCATTGAAGGCCCTGCATGACCTGCTTTTCCAACGTCTCATGGCGAAGCTGCCCAATGGCCAACAGCCGCTGGTGTGCATTTGTATATCTTTTAAATTCGCGTCGAGTTTCCTCATTTCATACTACACACGTGTCCGACTGTGGGGGGGTGTTTTTTTTTGAAGGGGGGGGGGGTTGTGTTTATTATTTCGTTATTTGGTGAGGACGGTTGGTTTGGGGGGGACGTGCGATCAGGTGAGTATATCGAGAGCCGAACTGCGGCTCAACAACACCTGGTGTTGGAAACCTCCACCATTTCCAACGCTCCCAACCCCCAGTGCGGCGGCTGCTGCCACTTTAAACCAAGCGAGCGATGCCTGCTACCCAGGAAGGCGCGTCCAACAGCGGCAAATAGGGGGGCGCCGATTACCGGCGGACGCAGCCTTTTGCATCGGCGAAGGGAGACAGCCCGAAACGGGCTTCCAACGCAACCCCCGGAGCACGGGAGGCAAACGGCAGCCGCTCGCTGGCCAAGTCAGGCCGATCAAAGCGAGCCTCGAGCCCGGGATGGCAGTTGCTCTCCGGCCGTCCTCCCCTCCGCCGCCGCGACCATCGCTGCACAATAGTAAGCAAAATGGCGGCGGTGGAATGGATGGAGGACGGTTGCAGACAATAAACGAGCTTTCGGCGGTCGTTTCCGCTCATTTAAAATCCGTTGTTGTGCCACGGTACGTTTCCTTTTATAGTCGAGCAAAGCGAGCGCGGAGTTTGGGTGCGGGCGGGGCGGGTTGCCAGCCGCTTGGTTGGGTTGCGGTTTGGGAGCTGTGGGACCCAGCGAACACGACAGACAGCGTGACATGTTCACGCTCAGACAAATCGGGCGGGACGGGCACCGACCGCTTCCATGTCTTTTTTGCCACGCAACATGACATTTCAGGCCAATACTTAACCATTATCCTTGGGGGAGGGGAGGGCATGGGCACCAAGGCTCGTAACTTCTGTGGGGGAAGGAAAAGTTGGGTTTTATCCCCGCGGAGTTTTTTTTTGTGTGTTGTTGATTTGAGCCTCAGGACCTGGTGGTTGGTGAATTTGAACAGGTTCTGAAACTACACACAAAAGTCGAAGCTGTTCGCTGTGATTATCGCAGTGGTATCGATTCTGGCGAAATGGGCTAATGTGTCAATGCTGTACTACCTCACCCCACCCCTTACCAAACCTATAGTTATAATTGAAGTTGACCTTTATTATTACAGCCTGGGACGTTTTGAAATCTGGCTTGGCATTTGTAAAACAGTGCCATTTGATTTTTATCACCAAAAACCCAGCACCATTGGCAATGATATATAGCAGCGTTAACCTGTGAAAGTCTGGCATAAGTAGGATTTAAAAAAAAAATCCCATTTAGGATTACAATTCAGTGGATGTCAGAGAAGGCTGGGAAGATGTGAAGTGGTATCAATGTTTGTGAGTTTAAGTGATCGAAAATACTTTGAAAAATTGAAAATTGACCAATCACGACATTCTATTGGACATTTTAATAAAAAGCTGCATTTTATAATTTAATAATTTGTATTTCAACATCTGAAATAACAGGCCAAGTCTGTAACTAGCATCGACAGTGGTTACTTTGTGTAGTTTCAGGTGTTAACTGCATGGTTATAATGCAGTCTACAGTTGTAAATACTGTGCAAATGTCTGCTGTCATCATGGTAACTGGAAATGATAATGGAGGAAATTGTAGTATATGTCATCAATGATGACAATGAAAGTACAGTAGTATATAATGTAAGTTGGGTCACATGGTTTTGATGTGTACTATCAGCTTCATATCAGTCAATCAGAAATGGTTGTTACTGAATTTTCCTCTCTCCCTTCCCCCCACATACACATGCACCTACCTACCTCTAAACATTTATTTGCACCTGGGTTTAATATGTTTAATTTTTTATTTTTGAGTGATTTGGTTGAACTGCATATGTTGGTGTAGGGTTTTCCTTGAGGAAATAAGAAAGAATTGGTGAGAGGATAGCCTACTGTTGTACAGTTTCTTTGGAATTGCAGAAGTTTTGAAGATAATTGCTCACCCAAGGCTTCAATAATTTGCAAGCTTTTTGAGACCAAATAGAAGAACCCATGAACTGCTTAAAAATCATGGTGGCATTCAGCGCATGTAGTTTGAATTATGACAGGTGTCAAAAGTTTCAACTTTGAAATTTTAGAAGTTCTAAAGCAGTATAAAATATATTTTGATCAGAGCAACCAGTGGATTCACAAGCTGATGGCAGAAGGCAGGTAACTGTTCATGCAGCTTTTAGTGATTTCACTGGGGGTAATATCCCTCCATATTTAATAAAAGATAAATGTGTCATCATGTGGTGGCTAGCCTCATTTGCTTATCACTTTCTTGCAAATTCCATGTTGGGTTACTAAAACATGATGCAGTTTTTCTGTGTTCTGCATTGCATCTCCACTTTTCACATTGTTTATTGCATTCAATGGTACTGGGAGATGAGATAATCAGAAAAGTTCTTTTTTTAAAAGCACCAAATTTTGTATAAGGCAGACTGTGTAGATGCCAGCCCCCATGTGGTAAGTATGGTATACTTCCAACAATAAAGTTTAGGTTAGTGCAGCATCCAATTCTGATTTATTTTCAACAACAAATTACATTTGTATAGCACTTTTCATGGAAGGAGGCAAGTATATTTTATGCTGCATCAGAAATTCAAAAAATCTCAAATTTGAAACTTTTGGCACCTGTCATCATTTATTGAAACCTTTCACCCAGTTTCATCATACTATATGAACTGAATGTTATCATGATCTGTAATGCATTTCTACTCTTCACCTCCACCATCTCCTATGTCTCTTCAATTGTTTTCAGTTCAATTTTGGTAAAGCAGTTTCAGTGTTTCAATAAACTCATCTAAATTTTTTTGGGAAGGAAGGCATTTGCATAAGCCTTCATTTCTCCTCTTCCCCCATTTTCCTCTTTGTTTTGAAGGTGGTGACTTATCCTGCATTAAAGGTCCAGAATCACTATTCTTCATGCACGAATTGAAACTGAGTGTGTGTGGCATGCTACTCAACAGGGTTGAAAGTTGCATTACAGGAAAGCCTGATTCGGTCTTCACCTGATAATCCCACATGAGATCAATTTCAGTTAGCCTCACTGCTGCTCTACTGAAATTGACAAAATCGTCACTGATCAATAATAATAATAATAATCCTTGCATTTGATATAGCGCTTTTCACGTCGGGAGGACGTCCCAAAGCGCTTCACAGAACACACTGTAAAGTGAATTGACTGTATATTTGTGGGCGAACGCGGCAGCCAATTGCGCACAGCAATGTCCCACAAACAGTCGTAGATTGAAAATGACCAATTTATTATTGTTTTTGGTTTGGAGGAATTATTATTAGGCTCTGTGTGGAGTAAGAAAACTTGCCCAAGGTTTCACACTCTGCCTGGAATTGCTTGCAAGGCGAGTGCTCTAACCACTGAGCTACAGGACTCCACGAGTCCACGATCAGTGCTAAATAAGCAAGTCGAATGAAAGTATACTCGTAAAATCCCTTAAATTAATGGGTGATGCCAAAATAGGAGGCAATGCAAATGAATGGGAAGTTAACACAATTAGATCCTGACGGTTTGGGATCTTTTTGAGCAGTTGACCTGATAGGTGGCAATTGTGGAAAGATGTAAAATAATTACTGTAACTTGAAGGAAACAAAAGAAGTATATTAAATGTATATTAAATGTTACTTCAAATTTAGCTCCACTGCCTTAAAAACTTAAACGTCATGTCTCACACTTTTTCTTATTCAACCTGATGCTTTTTTTTTTGCATTCGCAACAAAATTGGGGAATCCCAAGGGTATGCAAACTATTTTTCTCATTTTGTCTCAAATGAACACAGAAGCACAATATCAATCAAAAATTACATTGAGGCTATTATAGTTCTCTCTACACACAACGGAAAAATCTGAACTAGACAATTTTATCAACTTTTTATAATCAGGAAAATATTAAGTTTAAACTTTTCTGTTAGCTTTATTCAACACTTCAAGCCCTCACCTCCATTCATAGAAAAGCTGAACAATGTTTATGTGTGAAGAAAAGATAGGCTGGCACATAACCTTCCATCTCAATCACCATAAAACTCATTACATGAGTCAATACAAAACATTTCATTGATATAAGGTATACTTACCGACCTTCAACTTGTCACCTTGTTGAATTCTTATAAAAGATTACAATGTGTAGTAATGGGTATATCACACCACCTAAATTACTGTGTGACTCTCTTTCTGAACATAATACACCAGCTGAGTGTTATTTATGCATTTATTGTAAAATGTAATAAAATATTGAAGAAAAATATAGATAGAAACCAGAAACTTGTCACAAAATCAATACTTGCCTTGCAGTCTTGGGATTTAACAATAAGAAATTACATTTGTATCGTGCCTTTGACGCCGGGAAGATGTCCCAAAGCACTGGAAAGTTGGTAATTTGGACCCGAGCAGGGGGTTGGTATCAGAAGGGGTGGAGGGTAGGGGTAGGAGGGATACCAAAGGTGCAGTTGAAGTGAAGGGTCTTGAAATGTGCCATGAAGGAGGGAGCAAGGTGAAGGGACTGTGGGATGGAGTTCCAAAGGGTGGGGGCAAAGTGGCTGAAGGCCTGACCCCAGCGGTGGAGGGGGCTGGGAGGGGACATGGAGCAGGCTGGAGCCTGCAGAGTGAAGGGAACGGACAGATTGATATGGAGTTAGCAGTAATTTACTGTGAATCCCAGTGCTAAACTATTAACCAATATAGATTTTAATATTTTTAGCCTCACCAATTTAGTTTTAAAAACGTGTCCACTTCAGCTGACTTGAGGGTAATAACCTATAAACTAGTAAAGCCGTATACCACAAGGATACTGTAGCTCTCCTGCTGTTAGAGAGTGACTAGTTCAAGGGGAATGAATAATACACTACAGGACAGTTTAGAAATATACTGCAAATTGACATTTTGATTAAAGTGGCAAACATAAATAGATGGTGTAACTTACACTGTATTTTCAACTAAGTTGATACAGCTTCTGTACAATGGGTCAAGTAAGAGGAAGGCATTTAAATTACATTGTACTATGTGTGTACAAGATTTCATGACAGTACCGATTGAAGTCCCGCAAAGTGGTTTTGTGGGTCAGAACCCTGAAAGGTGTTTTTGATACACACGTAGAACATCTTGGAAGCAAAACCTTTTGAGGATTTTCCACTGATACATGATTGACACGTGAAGAGTATGAAATAATAATCAGCAAAGATTTTACATGGCTAAATGTCAAGTATATTTTGTATTGTGGCAATCACCTGATTTATATTTTGGACATAGCAGTAAAAGATTTTGAGAGGACACTGAATAATTTGTGAACAGAAGCGCCATGTGTGATTCGATAAAAGCATTGAATATTACTTGGCATCATAATAAAAAAATCCTTGTGTATCTATGTGGTATTTTGTTTATTTTTAAAAAATATTTAGCATCTGTTCTTGGTATTGTAGATAATATAATCCATAGGTTTTATTGTAGAATATCTATTTGCTTGGATTATTCTGACTGTTGCACTTTGACATTGGTTCATGATTTAGGTGACATGGGGGTGTCAGTCTTTGCTGGCCAGTCATGGTTTTATTCAAATGTGATTTTGCTCAGGTGCATATGTCCAGAAATAAAT